TGTCACCATTTTATATTTTTAATTTCATGCATGCATGGATTTTGTTTTTGATTTTGTTGACTTCACTGTATAGTAGAGTCGGTCAGGCACCATGATGCAATTCACTCTGCCATAAATTTGGAAACAGCATGCTGTACTGCTTGGCATTCATGCCAGAAGCTCCAATATAAACATTTCAGAGTGTTTGAGTGTCAATCTGAGGACAGTACAGGAGAAAATTTGGAAAGAGTTAGATGAGAATAATGGTGATTACAGAGGTGTTTGGCATGATCACTAGTGATAGTGACATTGCGTCTCTATTCATCTTCTAACAGGGCCTCAGACTCAACATGGAGGCCTACATCAAGTGCCTTGAGGGGGTAGTGCTGCTCTGGGTCTAGGGGTGATTGCTGGAAGACCCTATGTCTGGCAACAGGAGTCTGTTGGATGCTACATAAGCAAAAGGACCCAGTCATGTCTGTCAGACAATTTTTGCAACCACATCACCCCTTAAATCTGGCCACATAACTCCCCAAACTGCAACCCCCTTTATTATTATATGTGAGGGGCATAGTTGAGCAAGAGACCATCAAAACTCCTTGTAATACTAAAGATAAAATTAAAGCAAGGATTATGGCAATATTCACCAACTTAAACAAGCAAACTGCCCAGAAGAGTTGCAGAAGATTCCAAAGTCATCTGGAGGTTGTGGTTGAAGTCAATGGCAATTTTATTGAATAAATTTACTCTTTAGTATTTCAAGATATTTTTATGTAATTTTGGTAAATATATCTATTAAAATAAGATATCAGTGTTATTTTCATTTTTGTGTGATTTAGATGAAAATTTATCCATCGCGCCCTGTAAAACATATAAAACAACTCCCAGAAGAATTTGTTAAAGAGGCATACCAGGAAAAAAATGAGCTCAATGCCAATATGTATAAATAAATGTTTTTATTCATATTGTCTTTTTACAGATATATTTTTTGTTAAATCTGATTTTACACACACACACACACACACACATATATATATATATATATATATATATATATATATATATATATTTTGAAAGGATTTTTATTTTTATTTTTTTATACATATTTATGGTTGTTTGTGTTTCATGTATGAAAGTGAAGTTAGCAGATAGAAAATCATAGAATCTCAAGGAGAAATTTGCTTTTGTTAAATAGGTAATTCAAACCTTGTCCTATCAGTCTGGTTTCTCTGATGGTAAAAAAGAGGATGCATGTTTGATTCCTGTCAGAAACAATTTTTCTTTACTAAGGTCAGTTGCTATTAATTTCACTGTTGAATCAAATAAAAAACAGGGATAGCAACTCAAGCATATGTACCCCACTAAAAATAATGTTTATAGTAATAAGAAACATATATATGAATGACATCAACACTACATGGTGAGTGTCAGTTTCACACCTCAACATGATCTTCTGATCAAATATCACTACTCTTTTAGTGGGCTCTACATATAGCGCCTACTTAATAAGTGAATATATAATAAATAAGCAATTTAGAAGTTGTGACTATAAATGACACTAAATATTAGCCTGAATCAAAAGAACTGGGAAGAGCATGTTCCCTCCTTCCTCAATTTTCTTTAATACCCAGTGACCTATATATGGATCCGAGTACAGGAATAGTAGCACTTGGTCTGAAGATTTCAATGAGGCATGAAACTGACAGTCACTATACAGTACTAATTTCTATGTCCAACTGTCTATATTTATCAACACTGTTTTCAATATTGAGCACTCTTCCCCTATAAACAGAGCAAATTTGCAAATTTTAAACAGTATATTTATGTGTTTGTGTGCCTGCATGTATATAGGTTAATATCATAATGAATCAAAGTCCAAATAAATTCCATTCATTAGGTTGAACATTTTTTTGTTGCTATGTCAATAAATCAACACAGTGGATTGATAAATAAAGATCAATGAAACCATTTTGTTTTGAAAGATCAAATCCAATTACCCCTCCGAATAACAAGGTGACATCATCAAGAAATTGACCAATCATATACAAGATGAAATTTTAAAATTTGACATGTTTTTTTTCACAATATTACAAAATAAAAATGATTGTATATGATTTCTTTAATAATAATAATCTTTTTTTTTTCTATTTCTGCCATTTTGTAACCCCAAAAAGCTGATATATAAACTGATTGGTTCTTTTATGAAGGTTGATAGATTGAGGTTTAGATAGAATTTGAACGAATGATTTATTAATGATTACTAAATTATAAGTTCCTAAGCCTTTATTTGTCACATCGACAAAATAGCCAGTGAGCTGTTAAGGTCTTGTAAAAATACAGAAGTCACTTATCTCCTTTTGGTGGGGATAAGTCATGTCTCCTTACACTCTGCTTTGCTCTATAGATATATTATTCTCTGTGTGGGACATATGTGTGCATGTGTATATATATATATATATATATATATCCAAATTATATATAAGACCTCCCTGTTTGTTTTCCTTACACTCTGCTTTGCTTTATAGATATATGTGTTATATTATTCTCTGTGTGGAAATATATGTGTGCATATATATATATATATATATATATATATATATATAAAATTATATATAAGACACTCCATATTTGTTTCTCCTTACACTCTGCTTTGCTCTATAGATATATGTGATATATTATTCTCTGTGTGGGACATATGTGTGTGTGTGTTGGTTAGAACATTCACTTTCTGACCATGAGACCCAGATTTCAATCTCACCACAGTTAATTTGTCAGGATGTTATTGGTCTGGAGGGAGGTGATCCCAGCATGCGGCTCCTTTGGAAAGTGCCTGCAAACCATGCCACAGCCACAGGTTGACCCAAGCCTTGTGAGTGAAATTGGGTAGACAGAACACTTGGGAGCTGTCAATAGCTGTGCTAGCACAAAGCCACAGGTCATCATGACCGAGGGTTTTGAGCATGTTGGCCTTGTTCAGATTGTTGATCATGTCACACTCTCTCCCAGAAACTGTAACTAAGGTTTGCTCTGCATAGTTGCGGTACAAACCATAGGTGGGCTCTGTGATGGTTGGACATGCACAAAGGCTGGATGCATGAAACAGCCTGTCGCCTCTGAGTGTTGACTTCAATGTTCACTTTTATATTTATATTTACATTTGCACTATCTCTAATATTGAGCACTTTATCCCATAAATATAGCACACCTTAAAACTATATTCCTTCATATATATATATAGTTTTGTGTATGTCTTAGTATAAAAGTTTCTCTGAGAACAAAGCATATTTGTCAATCTTTTTCCTTCCAGCCATTCCATTCTATCCATAAAGTACACTGTTATTATATCATGGATATAATAATACCCATAATAGGGGAAATACAAATGAGAGAATAAATCTTTTTACCATATCTCTCTCCCATTACTGTCTGTACACATTGCATTCATGAACAGTTTTCAAGACTACACGCTTGTGAACCAATGCTTTTCAGTAGATGTTCCAACTAGATAATTACCAAGATTAGTCTGACACAAGGCAAAAATTATGCAGCACTCTATGAAGAAAACTAGAAAAAAGAGAGACTCGTTTCCTTCCCTTCAACAGTTTATACAGCCGTCTTTTACCTCTTATTAGATTGAGTCATAAATAAATTCTGTTTTTGTTGAACTTTATTCTTCAAAGAATAAATAAGAATTACATTTTATTCAATTATATATTCACTATTATTTGCAATGAATTGTTGCCACTTATCAGGCACCTATTCAAATCTTTAAAGTAATTTTCTGCAGCTTTTGATATGAAAAATGTATTGACGAACTCTTGAATCTGGTTTTCATTAGAGAAAGTTTTACACATCAAAGCATTTTGCACTGATTGAAAAACGTAATAATTGGTTGATACAAGATCTTGTGAATATTCCGGGTGATGTAGAAGAGATCAACTGAGTTGCAACATTCTTTTTCTGTTTTATTCTGGCTGTATGTGGCCTTTTGTCATGGAAGAGAACAACATTTTTTCTCTTGTCAAGTGTATGGTGCTTTTCAAACAAACTGTCATGGACAAATTGCAACTGTCAGAATGTATAAATGTGTGTTTAGCATCTCATTGCATTTTAAGAACTTTAATTGAATAATACTCCAATAATCCCACCAAGTGCATAACATTAACTTTCTTATCCTTGTCAATCCACTGCATTTTATATTGAACATGCAAATTCATTAAGTATGTTATGCATTGTTTTTTTCTATCCCTCTTGCCTTCAATCTGTCCTATGAGTGTCAGATTTTCCAAGCCCTCTTTTCTCATCATGTGCCCTAGATATTTCAATTCTCTTTCTGATGTTAAGTATAAGTTTCTTTTTTGTTTCCATTTTCTTTAAAATTTTATTGTTGTTCACATTCAGTCCATGGTATCTTCAGCATTCTCTGTAGAACCACATTTCTGTTGATTCAAGTTTATTCTTCATCTTTGAGGAGATTGCCATATAGGACAGATATCACATAACAGTTCAGTACTCTTTTCTTTGTTTCTAATGAAGTTTTTTTCTGTCTCTTAATACTCTGCTTAGCTTTAGGAATGCATCTTTGACTATCCCAATGTGTCTTTGGATTTCATTGTCACACTTTCCATCCTCTGTTAAAACATTTCTCAGATATTTAAATGTTTGTATTTGTTTGATTTTGGTATCTCTGATTCGGAATTTGCATTTCAATATATGTATATTAGTGTATTTTATTAGATTAAAGTGATATTTATGTTGATGCAATTACACATGTGCATGGATGAGAGGAGACACTGAAATTTTATATTTAAATTAATTTTTTTTTTAATTTCATCATCCCCTCATCTTCATGCACAAGTGTAAGCGCATCAATGGAAATATCAGTTTAATCTGATGATGTCCAAAAGGATGAAACATCACACGAAAAAAAGTTTCCTCTTCGTCACAGATTTTCCTAAAATTGTTCTGATATATAAAAAACTTAGATATCGTTTCCAGATATTAGTGGGCTTATGGTCATATATGGAAACACTGCGGCTCATACAATCACCAAAGTTAAGCAATGTCAAGCCTGCTGAGTACTTAGATGGGTGACCACTTGGGAATATGAGGTTCTGTAAGCTTGAATGGGTGGGCAGGGATAATAGATAATGTCTCAGAATTGTTCATCAGAGAGCCGAGTTCCAATTGCATTCAGATTTGTTACATTTACTTATGGGCATTGAGAAAGGTATGAATCCACCTCTTCTCCTCCCAGCTATGGGTTAATTAGTAAGATTTGTGTTAGTAAATCATTATTATCTCCAAAAGATTTTTTTATAATCTAGAAATATTTTCTAGCTCTAAATAACCTGCAAAGGGTTGATAAACTGTAAAAAACAAACAAACAAGCCGATCAGTTAATCCTATATTAGTGTACCCTAAATTTATTCTTAAATGCCAGGCATGATTAGTAGTTAGGATGATATTTTGTCATTAGAATCAGTTGACTCAACATAATACATTAATAAGTTGTAAATGGGAAAATAAAGTAACCAAGCCATTTTTATTTTTTTACTATTATTAGGTTGGTGCAAAAATAATGTCGTTTTTTGATGTTAAGTTGAACATCAAAAAACGACATTATTTTTGCACCAACCTAATATAGCACCTATAAATCTAGATGAAATCTTTTTGCATATTTAAAAGATAGATGAAAGTTTGTTTTTTTTTTTAAAGATAAGGGTATTGAATTAATACTTGTCCTTAGAGACATTTTTTAAAATCATTTCATCCCAAGCAAGGTGATAATGCCACTAAGACATAAAGAACTTACAGGGAGTGAAAGAGAATCAGAAGATTTTACTGAAGAGAAGTGAGGAAAGGACAATAAATAAACATAGTTCATTGCATTTAAATTTTTGAATATTGTAGTTGGCAAGAAATCAGAAGGGGTTCCGCAGACAAGAAATGAGAAAAGAAACTGTTAGAGCAGAAAAGATGATTGCATCTACCTAGTTCAACATCAAAATGATGAGACTTAGTTGCTAATCTACTAGTATGCATGCTTAAATTCATGTAGTCAAGGCACTAAGGAAAAAAGCTCATATAAATATGAAAAACAAGTTCTTTATTTTTGTGCTGATAAATTTTAAGAAAATTATTTAAAATTTTTTTCAGAATATTATTGAGAGAGAGAGAGAGAGAAAGAGAGAGTGGCACACCAACAACATTATACCAAGGTATAAATATACATATCCATCATGATACCCAGTCTGATCAGAGTATATGAGCTAAATGCAGCACAACCAAATGTGCATTATAGGGTAACAGGTTTTGCTAAAATCTCTGCATTACTTCACAGGTGAAGCTCAATTAGAAATATCTTCAGATCAGGTAATCCAATCTGCTCAGACAATTTCTGACTGAAGGTGTTCCCAAGTATTTACATGTGCCAACATCCCTAACTGACTCCAAGTCACCTTACCTGCCTCGTTCTTCAGATCTTATGGTTAAATCATGCTGAAAACGCCAGTTATCATTTGATTACCAAAGTTAAGCAGTGTTAAGCCTGGTCAGTATTCAAATGGAGATTCTTTGGAAAAAACAGGTACTGTAAGCAACTTTGTACATTCTGAAATATGTTTCAGCTTTAAATAACCAACAAAGGCTTGATAAGTTATAAAAAATAAATCAACAAACTCCATCCCTGATCCCCCCCCTCAAACACATGCATAGTAGATCACCTGCTAGGAGGCAGGGGACATGCCCAACTTTATTATTATTATTATTGAGTGGCACATCAACAAAATAGGTTACAAATATCCAATTCATATGTATCTATCATGACAAGCAATCTGATAAGGATATCCTAGGCACATGCACCACAGCCAAATGTGCTCAATCTGGTGTAATTCCAGCAAAGTTTTGCATGACAATGTAGTGTATAACCTTTAAGTCAGGTAAGCAACTCCATTCAGATGATCTCCAGTTGAGGATGTTCTCAAGTATCTAGATGTAACACCCAAGTTGTTTTAGCTGCCTCATCCTTCAAACTTAAAAAAACACTCTCTCAACACCTGGCCATAATGCTCCCCCTAATACTCCTGCTCATAAACAGAGATGCACAATGATTCAGCCAACATTATTATTATTATTATCATTATCATCAAACCCTATAATAATTATCAATGTGTATTTAATTGTATATTTCCTGTCTCATCTGTTAGTGGGAAGGGAGATCAATCAACTTATTTTATTACTTAGTTATTACTTCCTTTAGTTATTTTGATAATCTATACAAATAAAATGTTTATCCACATTTAGACAAAATTAATTTCCAAGCAAAATGAACTATTTAATTAATCAGTTCCTTTACTTGTATGTTTCTTAGATTGCTATCTTATTTGTTCATGCTTTTTATGTGAGTCACTCGGGTACCTTTGTCTATTAAGTGATTGTCTTGCTTCATCTTGATTTTGAAATGAACTTTTTATAGATGTCTTTGTTGTTCTGTTGCTAATCAATTTATTTCAAGAGATATTTTCATTTCACTGTTATATTAAACACAAAATTTTGAATATGAAAAGATATTGAACAAAAAGCAATTTATACCAGAAGTAATCAATGAATCATAGATACCATTAAACATGTACAAAATATAAAGGGAGTGGTTTAATTAAATGGTTCATTGGCCTCTATTTTTTGACGGTATGGGTGTACTAGTTATTGTTATAGTGATGATGTAATATAATATTGAAATGTTTTTCTTTAGTTTACACATGGTTTAATCAGAATAAGAAGGTATTGCTGTAATTTTCAGCAATGACATCAACCACTGGAAGATATGAAGAGTGAACAGACTGCTTCCTTGACTCTATCAGAGGCAAAATCATACTTATTATAAAACCCAGGTTGTGTGTGTGTGTGTCTGTTCGTTTATATATTGGATCGGATTTCCTACACTTTTCATCCGATTTGAACAAAACTTCACAGGACTACGTAAAATTACCTAGTGGTGGTTCTGACAGCACCCAAAATTGGAAAAACACAATTGTTTTTGCAAGAAATCAATTTGAAAACACGATTAAGAGGCATTGCTGTCGCAAGAATGAAAGGGGGACAACTCATATCTTGTTATACTTATTATAAAACCCAGGTTGTTTCTATGTATGTGTGTGTGTGTGTTCATTTATATATGGGATCGGATTTCCTACATTTTTCAACTGATTTCAACAAAACTTCACTTTTTTTTTGGCAGGTAGTGTTTCTTATTGTCTTGCACACTTTTTTTTTTTTTTTATATTCAGAATGCTTTAAAAATTCCATTTACAAGACAATTGTTTATAATAAAATTCTATTCAGTCAGTAGACTCATAACGATTGAAAACAATGTTTTTGTTTGAGTTTGGGTTTGACGAATTCGTAAAAAAAAAAAAAAAACTAATTAAGACATGCGTGTCCGTCAACCTTAAAGAATAATCTTTGTCAATTTAATTTTTCAGTCTTTATGATGGTCAATACTTGATGTATCTCTTACTGTTACATCCCCGGGCAATGCCGGGCTCTACTGCTAGTGCTTAATATTTAGAAACAGGAGAATATTGAACACTTTTTCTAAAGTGTGTCTATGTTTTAAGATCCTTTTTTTTTTAATAAGTGAAAAATATATCAATTTAGGGATTGTTTGGTTTTTCAGCAGGTCTCAATATTTTTTTTTTTTTTAATTTCCTTGTCTTCATTTATTCACAATGGAGACAAGGCAGAAATTTTCTTTGCTGCTGAAATTAATTGGTTTGGTCATAAATGTTCTTTCATTAATTAAAGTAAACAACTTATGTATGCCTCTCATAAAATAAAATGATTGTTATATTTTTACTTCATTATTTCAAGAGATTTCATTCATGTTTGTGGCAAAAGAAATATTTAACCTTCATGCCAGAAAAAAAAAAAATAAAACACTGTGTCAAAAAGACTATTATTTGCTTGACACTGCTATTACTGTATAGACTTTTGACTCCCTTGGCAATGTTTATTGTTTTAAAAAGTGAGATAAAATACCATGTTTATTCACATTTTCTTGATTTATAGTTCATTGATATTTTTATAAAATTATAAATAAACCATTTGTTTCATAGTTATTTCTTTATGAAATGGTAAATAATAAATATTGCATTGTAATTGGTTTACATATTTTGATAATTTTGTAATTTTTTATAAATTTGAAATGAAAAGATTTTTTGCCAAATTTATTTCTTTATACTTGCATTGTACTTGTTCACTTATTTTTATAATTTTGTAAATAAACATTGTCAAGGGAGTCAAAAGCATATATATACAGTAATAGCATTGTGGAAAGAATAACTGTCATTTTGACACACTGTTTTTTTTAAGGGGATGCTAGTTAAATATTGGCATGGAAGCATAAAGATATTTCTTAAATTTAGTTCAGCCGTAAAGGAATTTATTAATATATATATATATATATATATATATATATATAGCCAAAGTATACATTCTTTTTATTAAAGACTTTCAAAAACTCAGGCCAGTAGATGGAAATATACTGTTTAAAAAAACAAAGACATCTACTTGAATATGTTTATCCCCTAAAAATAACACATATAAAATAAGAAATAATGTTGAATTGTGTATAAAAATCCATTAATTCCTTAAAAATATTAATTTGTTTACATTTCAGATATGAAAGTGTTGAAGCTTAAATAAGCATGGAATAATACAACACAAAATGTACGTTAACAAAATGTATTGAAACAAAGAATAGGTACACAATATTTACAGTTAGTTTGGTATATTCTTGGGAAGACTGTTCCTGCATAATGGGTTGACTAAATCAGTCGGGCAGAGTCTCTGGATTCAATTTCTTAATCTCTAATGTCTTGTACCAACCCATATTTATATTCGGTAGTCCGCTTATGTAAATTAGGTGTATCATACACAACAGAAAGTAAAAAAAGTTAGCACATATGAGCTTCCATAGACCTTAATGAGAGTTGTAATTTTCTTCATAATGATAATTCAATGTTGCTTTGACGTGAAGTTCTCCAAGGCTTAGTTGGTCTAAAAAGATGCTGTGCTGTATGATAGTTTCCACTACATAAAAGGGACACAGGTTCAAATC